TATACAACTGTGTTTTGTTCACGAACCTGGCTCAGTGCACTGCTGACCTCTTTTCAATAGGGGCCAGATTAGCATGCAGCGGCGCTGTGTGGCTCATCGCTGCGGTGGTGGAGAGCTTTTGTCCCCGGTGGTAATCCGCTTGCTCTAAATACCCCAAACCCTGGTATACGGTTTCAAACTAACGCTGGATTATCACCACTTTTGAGAGTGAAAAATGCCGGTCATGCCCAGCAGCCTGGTCTTTTGTTCGGAGTACGGTCTTTTGTCACAGGGCCCTGTTTCCTTTGTCCGAGTTCGGAGACCCCGGCCACACATATAAACCATACGGCTCCGATTTCGGAGTCCCCGGCTGGTAGTGGTTAAGCCAGGTGAGCCGGGGACGACCACAAGGCCTCCTCCAGGATGCAGGCTGCTGCCCATGATGGAATTGGACAGTGATGTCGAGAGCAAGGCAAGCAGGGGCAGGAGACGTCGGACATGGCCAAAAAGGGTGTGCCGTCTCCCTGAGATCTCTGTCAAAATGCTACCAAGCCCAGTGCACTGCTGGATGGTTGTGTTGGGGATGAAGTCGAACCATCTGACTCCAAGGATGCGGCGCTGACATTGCATGTGAAAAGCTTGGATGCGCTGTTGTTCTGTCTTTAGGAGCGTCCAGGTTTCAGACCCATAGAGGAGGGCAGAAAGAACACACGTATGGTAAAACCGGAGTTTCACCGAGAGACTGGCTTTGCTCCTCCAGAGACGGTCCAATTGTCCCAAGATGGTACTGGCAATGCCAATTCTACGGAGTATGTCTTTACTGCAGAGACCTGACGAGTCAATTGTGCATCCAAGATAACAGAATGAATCAACTGGGTCGACATTAACATTGGGCCCTAGAGGAATAGGGGCTGGTGTGGGACCACAGTGACTGTACTTTGGTCTCTGCCCATGAAGGTTTAAGGCCGATATAGCTGGCCTCCCGTTCAAAGGTTGTAAGGAGCTCCCCGAGCAAGTTTGACTAGAAAACAAGCGGCATCATCAGCATACAGGAGGTTAGTGAACCTGGTGTCGCTCACATTGATTCCAAGTGAATCCTC